AGAAAATTAACCCATCCTTAAATGATGAATTTTGCGTAACTTTCTCCAGTTCATTTTCCAATTCTTTTGCTTTAATCTCAAGAGAAGGATTGCTACACAACTGGAAAGTATCAGAATCCTTTAATAAACCTTTTTGCATAGCTTGTTTCAACTCAGTCTCCAGTTCATTTATTTTAGTTCCAAGAGAGATAATATCAGAATCCTTCAAAGATAAAGCTTTTTGTATCAAAGATATTATACTTTCCAGTGATTTAACTGTAGACTTTAATGATTCTATTTCTTTTAACTGCTTGGCATTAAGATCGGCATAAGACTTTTGTTCGCAAGTAATTTGGGAGACAAGCTTATTATTCAAACCATTTAGTTGATTAGCTAGAGGGATAATTTGATTCATAGAATTATGCATAAGCTCATTTTCTTCATGCAAGTAATCTAGATCATCTTGCATACGCTTATTTTCCTTATGTGAGTGATCTAGATCATTTTGCATACACTTATTTTTTTCATCTAAGATATGATATTTAGTTATAAACTATTTGGCAGATCTTATAAACTTTTCGTGATCTTTTTTTAGCTGTTCTTCAAGTTCTAATCAGCTTAGTGAATATCGATTGGATGGAGAGCTTCCAAGTTTACTACTATTACTATTACCTACATCATTTAAAGTGTAAATTCGAGGCATAGTTTTTTATTCCGCAAATATAGACAAAAAAAAAAATAAAAAACATTTTTTTTGAAATAATATACTCTTTCTATATTTCCAAAATGATACATTTATCCTAATTATTCCAATAAATCTTTTTGAATTAATGTATTTATCCTATTTATTCTATTAAATTATTTTTGAAATAATACATTTTTTTTAAATATCATAAACTACGCTTATCTTATTTATCTAAAAGAATACATTTTTTTTAGTCATCCTATTTAATATTTTTTGAAATATTTTATCTGAAAAAAATATATCATTGTGATTATGATTAGACAGCGTATAAATTGTAATGCACCTTTATTTTCACTAGCTGATTACGATTTTATTATGTAATGTGAAAATGAAAGGCTGAGAAAGAAAGTTTTAGATGAATTGATGGACAAATATAACACATCAATGAAATGCATATATCAGATTTAGAGGCAAAGAAGCTAATAGAATTGCCTGGAATCAACCAATAGCTGATATTTCTAATACTACTTATACAGATGAGTGTTTACCTGTAGTAAACTATGACCCACCTCCTGCGATTTCCTCTCTACCTGCCTTATCACTGAAGAAAAATAGCTGAAAAAAAGAAACAGGTAAAATAAATGTAGCATCTACTGAGACGGAAACAGAGGTGCTTTCACAGCGCAGTGCTAATACCACTGATAATACAAATATTATATCTAAAATAGAATCTGAATTTGAAGAGGTATTAAAACAAATGGATAATATTAATTAACTTACTTCTTTTTGGCAAGTATTTTTATAGCACTTATTGCTTTACCAAGTCACTCTTCAGCTTTTGCAAGACGTTCTTCAAGTTTCACACAGTTTACACACTTTTTTTTAAACTATTCTCGCTAGTTGGGAAGGAGTCATGTGGCCTCTCTTTTGGCGGATTCTTGACTACTAGAGCCTTGCTAAAAGTTGGGATAATATATGTCTTTCCATGATCCTCTATGCGAAACTGAATTTTATTCAGATCAGAAATACCTTTGACTTTTTGAATTTCTGTTGTATCTAACTATAGCATTGGATTGGGCTCACCATTATCAACACAAGCATAATTTCCAACAATAGTGATGATTGGGTTTCCTTTCATGTCCTTTAGAATGACCGCTATATTCATATACCATCCTAGTGCTTCAGAGATATGATCAGAATTACCTTTTACAGTGAATTTGAAAGGCTTATCAACTTTCCATCTAAGTGCTTCACCAGTAGCTAAATTAAATCCATCAAATTCACTTCCATTATCTAAAAAAGATTCAGAGATTGGTAAGTCATTTATACTAGTATTCAAGTATTATAGGGATGAAAACCACTCATCTTTTTTTGACTTCTCCTCCTGAGTCTTTCGAGATAGACACATTTTACGCATTGTCAGTGAAAGTTTTGGCAATAGCTCATTATACATTTCAGGCTGGCTGGATTCTGAAGACAACTTTTTATTTACTAGCACCTGTTTTTTTTCTGGTACATAATACTACGCATTATCTACTTTATGATAACCACTACTATTATCTTTATCATTATTAGAATCTAAAGGTATGTTTTGGAAATTTATAGGTGTGAGAGGCTTAAAATAAGTCTGATTAAAATTAAATCGTGCTGTCTATCTATTGGGATAACTGCCTTTACTATGACCAGTTTCTCCACAAATATCACATTTATGTATATTTAGTTTCTGAAATTGATTTGTTAGTTGATTTATAGCATCATGAGTTTCATTTATTTCCTCTTCTACTCTATCAATTCTAGCAGAGACATTGCTTCTCTGTGGGTAAGATCTTTGAAAAGGCTTTACAGGGTAATCAGAATCCAAATCTTCCTTGTTAAGTATACCTACTTCTTTTAAGTATTCAGCTACATAATAATTCTTGAGACCTTCCTCTGTTTTCAATGAAGATAGTGGACCTCTTGACTGTCAAACAGGTTCAACTGTTTATGGAACAGGTACTTGCATTTGCTAAGCTATTTGTGATTGTAATTCTGTAACTTTCTTTATTAATGCCTGGTTTTCAGTTTTTTGTTGTGCCAGTGCGTTTTGGATTGCTTTTTACATATCTTCTAAAAATATTCCATGCTGTTGCGAGGCTGAAACTGGTGAAGGTTCATATATTTGCTAAGATGCTCGTTGAGATATTAGCGGATCAGATATTCTATTCCTTTTATATCTAGCAATTCAGCGTAATTCTATCTCATAAAGCTTTTTAGCTAATTCAGCCAATAGCAAATGTTCACCAATATCCTCAGCTTTTTCAAGCCATGGAAGTGGTAAGGCATTTAAGAATTTCCTACATAATTCTTCAGGCCTATAGTTAGCTCATCTACCTATTTGAACTATTTTTCTATATAATTCATCTATAGTCATGTCTCCCTTCATGATTGTTCTATACATCATATTCCAAAGCTCCTCTTTCACTGTAAGGAAATGAATTTTTAGCCACCATATAGCTTAACCAAATCGAATACCAGCTACAACTACTCCAGCATTAGCATTTGGTACATTTATAAGAGCATTAGTAGGACGGCCATCTGCTATACACCAGTCTTCATTCCAAGCATCTTCTACAGCTCTTAATTTGACTATTGTATTTCCTAGTTGACCAACAGCCTCATTTAATGCATTAACTCCTATATGTACTGCAGTTTGCCTATTTACTGCAACTAAGTTAGCCTGCCCTGTATTATCGAGTAAGTTAGTTAACTTCCAATTCTGCTTAATAGTAATCTCATCATTGAACCATTCTAAAGTCCTTCCTCTCATACAACCTCTTAAATGCCCTATTACATTATCTCTTCCTGTTGGAAGACCTGCTACATTATCATTTGAATCTATTCTCTGATTATACAAGTCTAGTCTAAGTTGCACAAGAAAGTCTGGGATACTATCATCCCAGTCAAAATATAGATGAGATATTCCTACTATATTTATTTGATTTGGTGGATTATTCTAAAGCGTCAAAATTTGTCTCTGCAAATTTAAAATATTCTGGCGTTCTGCTTGAGTCTTATTTTTCCATTTTTCATATCGCTCATAGAGCCTATTTTGATTATATTCTAATAAACCTATATCCCCTCTACTTCACTATAGGTGGTGAACATTTCGCTGATACAATAATTGTAAGGCAAATTTTTCTTGTACCAGCACACCTATATGGACTTGTTTTCTTGCTATATTACCTATCATTCTATTTACCTGGTTTTGAGCATTAGTTTGATATTGATAGAGATTACCAATAATATTAGCCATTCCACCTTCAGCAAGTTGCCTTCGTATAATTTCATTATCACGTTCAGCTTCTGCATCATAACGCCTTCATTGCTCACGAACTAAATCCTGATGCAAATTATTCTCTTTTTGGCGAATTTGCCTTATTGCCATTTTTATTTGGTCTATAAGAATATCCCTACCTGTCACTCTATTATCCACATAACCATCTATAGCGTTTGCTAGCTCTGTAATTGTGGCCATATTATCATCAGAATTATACAAGTCTGGAGAATTTCCTCATTCAGGTGAATTTTTCTGTGATGAGATAGTCTTAATCCTATATCGCAATTTCTCAACTTGTTTCTCAGATTCTACTAACCGCT